CAAAAGCTTTTACTTTCTTCAGCTTATATATAAAATTCCCAATTCTTTCATTCTTAAGCTATAAGACTACAGGAAAATATCTCTACAAAAAACTTCACAGGAGGAAAAAAGTTACACTTGAGAACTTTTTATAGGGCAAAATTTAGCTGTTTAAATTATTCAAGTTTCACCAAAGCTAATATCTGCAACAGACTAAGTGAGAGCAAGTGATCCGGTTTTCTCTTAAGAACTCCTGTGTACAGTATTATGCTAGTAAATGAAAAAGTATATGATGACTCCAATTTAGTTTTAATTACTTTCTCCCTTCATCTACTCACTGAAAGAAAGGTAAAGGCTGTACATTCAAAAAAATGTTCGAGGTGACAGTACCTGGGTAGTAGGCATCTCCTATATTTTTTCAATTTCTTTCAAATTTTCTACAAAGCACGGCTATTATTTTTAGAAAAAAAAGCCTACAAATGTTATTTTTTAAATGCATAGATGAAAAACTGTCTCAAAAAGACTGGCCAGAGAGCAGTGGAAAAGTGATGGTCCCCAGGAGAGGAATCAGTGGGCCCATGAGTGTTTCCTCCGGTCATTACAAAAGGGGGCTGTATAAGACTTATAAAAGTGTAATTGTGACTTTCAAGCTCACTGAGCTTGTTAGGGTTACCAAGCCTGAGAAATTCCAAAATAAACACATTCTCCTTGGGCCTCCAGTGCTGTCTTCAGCAAGAGACTGCTAGGGAAGTTCAGAACATTCGGAGCATCCCTCACTGAAAGACTTGCTTGGGGGCCCAAAATATTACCAGAGACCACTGTACACTCAAGGTTAAGACTATCCGGAATACTTGCTCTTGGCAGCTCCACTTGCTGGCCATCCTTCAGTCACAGGACCCTGAAAGCAGACTAGGGTCTGTGCATGCCTCTCCTTTCACCTCTGTGCACCTCACCAGACAAGGTTGCCAGGGAGCTTGCTCTCTGCTGAGCTGCAGGGGCAAGGGAGTTAACGGTGCCTGCATCTATCAGGAAGCAGCCATCAGACGCCATTCCTGGCCAGCACGCTAATCAGCAAGGCCTGGCTACTACCGTCCTCCCCAGGACACATACTGAGGGAGCACCTGCTCCTGCAGTGGTAGGAAGGGAAACGTGCACTATCCAGATTAAGACCAGCGAAGCCCAAACAACAAGCAGTCCGGGCACCAGGCACCAGGCAATCTCTGGGAAGGCTCTCAGCATTCACCGAAAACAACCAGAACCTCTACTGCTGCCCTCGGGTCCCAGGTCACGGGTCACGTAGAACAGAGCCCAGGAGAGAGGATTCCACAGACTGGGAACACCATCCCTCCCACAGCAGGCCTGCCACAAGGGAGTAAGCACAGGATCCACACAGAGGATGCGACTCGCTCCACCCACCCCGCCTACTTGTTTCCCCCTCACTCTCATTTCACTTTCCAGCATTAGAGAAATTTGTCTGTGTGTAAAAATCACCAGCTTTATAATGAAATCACTGAGAAAATGGGATTCATTGTGCAGCTAAGTTTGCTGAATCATAACCCTCAGGAAAGTCGGGTCCTCAGAAGAGATTTATGAAAACACTGCAAAGGATTTTAAATGTGTTATCTGTGTTAAATTACTTTATTCCCAGTAAGTCAGTGTTACATAATGTTTCTTAACCACCTTGACTATGCCAGTAAAATGCAAGGAGACGTATTACTTCTGGACTCAGCTTCTACCTCTAAGGAAAGCTTTCCATTTTTATAGCTAATATGACAAAATCCACTTTTCAGCCAAGCTTCCTCAACACAGAAGTTTAGATACTATTTCAAATGCTATTAAATTTAATGGCAGGCCTAAGTTCAGACTTTTCATTTGACTTCTGTACCTACTGGAAATTATTTCACTTAAAATAATTATGTCTTCAGATGATTTCCTATTTCCACTTAAAAGTGGAAACAAATTACAACACTTCAAATTCTATTTGCATTTCCCAAATACAGAAGTGACTCATTTATCCAGCACCATCAGAAAATGAGATTCTCCACATTGGGCATTTTCCAGATAACTGCCACCACTGAGAGCCCAGCGCACTCTGTCCTGTCCCAGCTTCGTACTCACAGCTTAGAGCAGTGTCTGGGACACAGAACACACTCATTAACACCCTCTGAACATAAGAGTACATAGAAAGAAAGTTCTTTTACTTTTTAACCAATCGATGCAAATTTTCCCACAATGAGTTACATCCACCCATTTTTTGGAGGGGACAGAGGTTGAGACAGGGTCTTGCTTTGTAGTTCCAGTTGACCTTGAACTCCTGGCAATCCTCCTGTCTCAGTATCCCAAGTAATGGGACTAAACACATGTACCACCACACCCATCGCCAGTCACCCCTTCTTTTATAAGAAAGAAAAAGAAAAGACACTAAACAGAAATTAAGCCTTTCTTACTCCTCTGAGGGCTCTACTCCCCTACTGAACACCTGCTGTGCCCCAGAAACCATCAAGAGCCCAGACCTGGACTGCAGTGCTCACAGGCCCTCCACACCGCGCTCTCAGCTTTCCCTTCCCAGAGCACAGCTGTCATTTCTTCTTTCCACGCTGCCCCTGTACACACACAGTCTGGCAAGGGTCTGAGTGAATTGTTCCTCTAAAGCAGAATAAAATGCATGGACTTGGTTACGATTCAAGTCCTTTCCAGCTACTTCTGACCTGTGACTACAGTCTGTTTTTAACAGACCTCCTACGTGCATGCGCATGCGCACACACACACACACACACGCACACATCCTCTATGCCACCCTACATAAAACCTGAGAATGGTTCTACTAGTTATAAATGAGCATCTTAAAGATTTTCATTTAAGTACTGAGCTTCAAATATTAATCACAAAGAACAGCTCAATGACTGGCTCCAATATAAACCTCAGGGCATATTTTTTTAATCCATTTAGGAGCCATCAGCCACGACAGAGCTGGATTTCATCTTGCCTGATGGGCTGTGATCGGGCCACAAATTAGACTCACTGTTCCAAAGTTCATGGCAGCAAAAGTCAAACACACTGGCAGCCACGGTGTGCTGTGCGTGCCCAGAAAGGCCATCTCCCTCAACCCAAAGTGGAAAGGATAATTTAAGTACAGCATTTAGTTTATACAATATAACTGAAGTTCCTTCCCCACAACAAACTTTGAATAATGTTTATAATTTAGCAATCAACTGAAATGATGAAAGAATTACCACAAACGAAATAAAATATTTATGTATTTCAAACCAGTAAAACCGAATCTTCAAAAGCTAAGAGAAACCTTGTTCTGAATCAGGGATAGATACAAATAAAATGGGGAATTTGTTTATTCAGATCTTTGAGTTGCTTTTCTTCTTAAAGATTTAATGAACTTTCATTTGAAACAAGCTTATTTTACTAAATTCAAGGATTTGATTAAGTATTCCTTAAAAGTAACTAGCTGGGTAAACAATGGAGCAAGTTATCCAGGAGTCAAGAAGAGAAAAATTACTTCAGACTGTTTTACGAATATTCTTCCAAAATCACCAATCCTTCAACAAAAATAGTTCAACGGAAGATTTCAGTTCCTGGTACTGCACTGAACAAAGAGAACCACATGTTTTTAATGGTTGCTCATAAACGACCCAAATAAATCTCCAAAAGAACAGCCGTGGTTCTTTCTGCATTTTTCCCTTCAAAACTCACAAGGCCAATTCAACACAGAAATAAAAATTACTGTACTTTATGGCACCACTCACTTTGTGACACATTTATTTGCTGTTGTGAAAGCTAGTGCCTCAACAAAGTAAATGAGATTTAGAGAAAAAAATTTTTATTTGAAACAGCACAAAATGTCCTTGCTATTTGTGGCAGAAAGTTTACCCACCTCGAATGAGATTTTCAAACTATGAGACCTAAGTATTTGCATATAAATGTTACAAGGAGGCTTTCCAAATAGCTTTCTAATCAATTAGGAGGCTGACCTTAGATCAGAATTACACTGCTAACTAGCACTTAAAAGAAATGCAGTCTGCAAACACGACACACAACTTAAAACCTCCCCCAACTAACTCAGAATAAAACAGAGCAACAGCACACCCTGCTGGAAGTTGCTAATATAGCTAGCAGAAGCAGCAGCCCTGAATTTAAGATTTCACCAAGATGAGAAATACTTTAGAAGCACAGATCCCCCACTTACTGAAAAGTGGGGTTCACAGGTACTATCAGGTGCCTATACATGCAGTCTTAAAGATTAAGACTTAGAATAACAAGTTAAAAGATACTGCTCTATTCTTCTTGTTTCTCCTGCAGCACACAGCCCGTCACCCCAAGTGATTCACTATACTAAATTTAATATAAATACAAATATTTTTAAATCTGTTTTCTGCAAAGAAAAAGTGGTAAGAACATAAAAGAGGAAACTAAAGCCATTTTCTACATAGAACTGTGTGAAGTATCTCTTCTTCCCATCCCAATCTGGCCTCAGAAACATCACTAAAGACCACCATTAAGAATCCACAAGTGAGCCTGGTGGTCTGTGAACCACAATTTACATGCCACTGGCAAAACGCCTACACATTCTGGCGTTCAAAACATGCAGACAGTATTAAGAAACCACATGCCATGAAACTGCATCTAGAATGTGAAATCACAGAAGCTATCATCTGGTAATCCAGCTCCACCCTTTCTAACATAAGTCCACCAGTCAGAACACAGACAAGTACTAAAAACACACACGCGTTCTCTACCTACAGAAAGAAAAGCCCTCAGTCCCACTGAGCATTCTCCTTAAAGAGACTGCTGTGGGTGACTCCTGAGTGTCACTCAGAGGCTCCTCTTTCCCACCTATGAAATGCCCAAGCAAGGCCAAGGAAAAGCAAGCACTTCAGTGTACTTCCCCTCAAGAACTCAAGGCAGTAACCACCTCACATCTATTTTACTTAAGTTGCTGCCAGTGGTATTACTTCGTTCATAACTTCAACAAAGGTACATAGGAATTAGAGCTATAAAATGATACCAACCTCCAGCCTTTTTTCAAGCGATTCAATCCGGTCCTTTTTGCTAGCTAGATTGGCACGTGTGTAGCGGCTCTGCCCAGGAAGATACAAAACTTGACTGTAGCATTCTTCCCACACCTGGTTATAAGCTTCACTGGAGAGTTCACCATGGCTCATTCCTTGTTTGACCACTTCCATCTCCTGCACCAGAATGTCCTGGGCCTGTTCATAAAAACAATTTCAGTAAGTTTAAACATAAAAAATACTTGCCATCACCAGAGGGCTTCAAAAGTCAGTTTCTGTCCTCCTTGGCCAAAGTTAAAGAATTCTAGTTGGTTGATTTCTGTCAGGGCTTGGGACTGGAGACAGCTAAGTCAAATGAATTAAAAAGCTTATCATACAGTTGGCATAGACTAATTTTAAAAGGCAAGCATCCATGTTTCTCCAAGAGTACAAACATTTTTTTGCTTCTGCTCGCTGTAATAGTAGCTATAGTATTTCTCATTTATATATTGTGTTCAAGTTCTACTTCCACTATTTCCAAAGATCATAACCATCTTACAAGGAACCAATATGGCAACCTCATCTCAAAGCCAGTGGCTCAGTAAGATTAAACATTTTATTCCAGATCACAGCACTGGAACAAGCAAGCAGGCAAGGTAGGACACGAGCCCAGCCGTGCCAGCGTTTGGGTGGGCTCCAAATGCTCCGCCACTCCGTCCCAGCCCCATGTTCACAACCACATGGCACAGAAAAGGGGCCCAGGCATCCTTATAACACAGCCTTTTTTTCCCATTCTGAAGGAACACCCCTGAGGGAACAAGAATAAAGGCACAAACCAGATAATCATGGACCAAACGCCAGACTGAGCTCACACCTAAAGAACCTTAGTTCCAACACAGCTTACCATATAGATGGCTCTGAATGGCTTAAATTATCTGGGCCCATTTTTCAGTTGGAAAAACAAGAATGCCTACCTAATACATCTGTCATTAGGATAAGTATACACGGTACACCTAAGAACCCTGCCTCATACCAGACAGAGCTCCATGAGCAAACACATACCCCTCTCTCCCAGTCCTCAGATCATGGTCAGAAACACTGGACCATCTCTGTGCCTTAGAGAAGGCTTCTATTCTTTCTAGTAACACTATAAAATGAACACATCAAAAAACATGAGTTTGAAGTCAGCCTGGGCTACATAGTGAGACCCTGTGTCAAAGAGCCAAACAACATAACACAAACATGAGATATGACCAACAACCGAAACGGTTAACAGAAGGTCATTTCAACAGAAAATAAAAACTAGATACTTTTAGTATTACCTCTTAAGAGAAATAATACAAACCTATTTTAATGTGCTTGGTAAAAATCCAAAACTATTCAAAGAGAAATGATATTTCATTTTAAAACTGTATACAGTAAAAATTTTTTAAGTTCAGCTCTTGTCATCAGGAGACAATGGGCCAAGTTATCTTTAGGGAATAAGAACAAGAAATCTGCTTCAAATTCTTTTGGGAACAAAGACAAATAAAAACAGAAAAATAAAATACTGGAGAATATTTAACATTATTTGTTTCAACTAATCCCAAAGCAGTACTTAGAATTATTATCTTCAAAACCTGTATTAGAATTTCTCCCCTCAAGACCTCTAGAAGCAACAATGTGATCCTTGTTCCAAGTTGCCATACACTCAAGACATCTGAGAAAATTTATTTCCTAAATTCCTTCTTCTCCTCATATTTTCACTCTAAAGAGTGGGAACTATGCAAGTATTGACTTCGGAGCCTGGGTCTCCACTCAGTGATTAACGGGCCTGCCAGGGTCGGCACTCAGCAGATGTCAGCTTCCCTATCCCACTCACTAAAAAAGGAAGCTCAAAGGTGCCCAGAAATCCAAGGGGCAAGATGTTGAGATATAAATCTAAACCTCCTCCCTTTCTGCACTGTCTCAAAATCCTCTAATAAATATGAATGACTTGTGCAATAAGGAGCACAGAAAGTACGACTTAAGAGAGGGGCAAGGGGAGCTCAAGCAAGAGAGACGACAGCGGGAAGCAGCCTGCAGTGCCCGCCCACCAGGCACGCAAGGACTCCACCACCACAACCCCAAGCCAAATGCAGCACAAAGACACCAGAGCCTGGCTGACTTGGAAATTTACTCTTCACAGCCCTGGGCGCTGCGGAAGTCCAAGACAATCAATCATCTGGAAAATAGCATGGCAGAGGACATCACCCTAGAGAAGTCACCCGTTCCAGGGATAACATCCACCTGGGGCACAGAGCCCGAGCTCTAACCACCTTCTGAATGATCAGGTGCCCCCTCTTGTACTGTTATGGGGCAATTAAATTTCAACCTGAGTTTTACAAGACACACTCAAACCATAATAGCTTCCGACTAGAAGCTATCCATATTTTCTTGTACTACTGCAGATGTTTCTACTCATAATCACAGCTGCCTGCTCGTCAAGCAGAATGCGTGAGATGTACACAGGGGAAGACGCAGAACACAGACTACAGACTGCATGAGAAGTTTCTTCTTCATTGTGCAAAAAAGCATACATGAAAATCATGAGAAAAGTAAATTCTGTAAAAAGTATTTTCTTTCTTTGAACTGGTGAGCAGTTCAATGTGTTAATATGTGTAATGCTGACAGTCACCAACTGATACTTTGACTGTTCAATGTTACCACGGTGCGAGGGTGCTATGCACCCAGTACTTGGAATTCTGACCCTTGCACAGGCTGTCAACAGGCAGCACAACGAACTCTCGTGAGAGGCTGGGCACCAGCTCCTGCCGGCCTTGCCGACCTCCTTCAGAGTGCTGTGCTGCCATGAGATGTGGCAAGTCAGGGAGAGAAAAACGCATTTCCAAAGTATTGTTTTCAACTTATAGCGGGTTATCAGGACATAATGCATCATAAGCCAAAGGGTTTCTGTAAATTCTTGATTTTCCTTATAGTCTAAGTAAGTGAGCTTTAAGTATTAAAGGATTCCATTTTATCCTGAGATAGCAGAGCTGAAAACAGAAAATGGTAATTGCTGCAACTGTCACCCAAACCAACAATGCACATGAACCCGGAACACCTTGCCACCAGTCTATCTGATAAACATGGACATGAAGAAATTTAAAGCCTGTCTTTGTACACGCTTAGGATGAACATTTAGCTCTTAAGCACATGCTTGTGCTGCCCGAGTGCTAATGTGCCAACATAGATTCATGCTTGCCCACGACACACACAGCACCTAACAGACGCTTAAATCTCTCAACAGAAGTACCTGTCCTCAATCATACCTTTTTCAGCTCTTCTTTGCTGAACTTTTCATAAGGATTATGTTCCAGATAGGTGATGTGCTCTGAGTTATTGGTACCGAATCCTATGGTTTTTCCTTTCTTATTTCCAGAAGGTTCATAGGGGTGATGTAGAAGGTCATAATGAAGCATTGTAATCATTTCTTTTTTGATTAATTCTTCACTTTTCTGTAAATCTGTTAGAGGTGGTTCTACATTTAATGGTCTTAGAATAGTTTCATTTACCTAAAATTTTAAAACAAGTACAATTAACAAATATACCACTGCAACATACTACTGTTATTGCTTTTCTTAAAACTTTAAGTCTCAGTTTTAGGACTGGGGAGATAGCTCTACAGTATAAGTACTTGCTTGGCAAGCACAGATTCTAGGTTCGATCTCCAGTACCAAAACAAAAATAAGCAGTTTCACATTTTCAAAAGTTATTTTAGCTTCCTTCTAAAATTGTTACAAGGATCAGTACCTAATAATTACATCCATCATGCAGAGTTGGTGTTTGCACCCAACATACCTTAGTTCTTTGTACCATTCTCCCTCCCTCTGTCTCTTGCTCTTTCCCTTCCCTTTTGCAAAAGATCTGTCTCCCTCGTTTCCTAGTATCTTTTATTTTCAGTTCATTTTAAGGACTGGATTGGGAACTGCTTTCCTATATTCCATAGAGCAGATAAAATTTTATTTTATGGTCTTTAAGAGCAATGTAAGAAGCATTAATAATATAAAAAGAAATTTGAAGCCAGGTGTGTGGCACATGCCTGAGTGATGCACTGAGACACTGAGGCAAGAGGACCACAAGTACGAACACAGCCTGGGCAACTTGGCTACTTGGGGAGAACACCTCTCAAAAGAAGTGTTCAAGGGGGCCTGCCCCGTAGCTCAGTTCTTTAAGTGGCTGCTTCAACAAAGCAGTCAGGCTCCGGTTGCTTTGGTTCGATCCCCACAACACAAGACAGCCAGTCATGCCTTGAAGGCATTCCGGAAAAAAAAAAAAAAAAAAAAGAAGTGTTCAAAAGGACTGGGAAAGTAGCTCAATGCACAGGCCCTACATTCAATTCCTAGTACAGAGGGGAGAGGAAGGGAGGGGAGGGGAGGGGAGAGGAGAGGAGGAGAGGGGAGAGGAGAGGAGGAGAGGGGAGAGGGCAGGGAAGGGCAGGGGAGGGCAGGGGAGGGAAGGGGAGGGGAGGGAAGTTTCCTAAACCAGAAATTTCAATACTCACTTCAGATGGTCTTGGCAGATCTTTCTGAACAGCTTTGTGCATTCGTTTCATCTCCTTCACACGTTCTGCCTCACGTATGGCCTAAAAAATGATTTTATATCCATTATTAATTTGACAATTCTCAAAAAAACTGAAAATACTTCTGTCTATAAAATAAAGACCATTCTACCAGCCAGGCATGGTGGCACATGCCTGTAATTCCAGCACTCAGGAGGCTGAGGCATGAGGATCATTGTAAATTCAAGACTAGCCTGGGCTAGAAAGTGAGCTCAAGCCCAGCCTGAACTGCACAGCAAGACCCTATTTCAAAAAGACAAAAACTCAGTGCCAGGGATATAGCTCAGAGGCATAAGTGCCTGCCTGGCAAGTACAAAATTCCTAGTTTCATCCCCTGTGCTGCAAAAAAAGGCAAAAACAGAACAACAAAAGTGTTCTACCAATAAAAACCATTTCTAGCGCTGGGGAGATAGCTCAACAGAATAAGCACCGAAAATGCAAGGTCCTGAGTTCAGTCCCCGGTACCTCCTTTTTTGGAGACAGGGTCTTGCTATGTAGTTCAGGATGGCCATGAGTTTACTATATAACCCAGGCTGGCCTCAGACTCACAGTGATCTTTCTGCTTCAGCCTTCCAAGTGCTGGGATTGTAGGCATGTGCCACCATGCCCAGCTAAACTTCATTTAAAGTAAAAGAATGTTCAAAATATAAAGCTATAGAAATCTATAAGTTTGGAGAAAGATAATGTTTAAGGTCACACAAACCCCTCAGCCTATTCACTATTACCACAATAATAATAATAACTTCCAGCATCTATCTGAGCACTTCCAAATAATTGGTTCCATCCACCAGAGAGTTACTTTTCTGTCTAAATGGCAATCTGAAACTCAGGAGACTCCTGCAGTATAGTCCTGCCTTTCCACCAGAAAGCTACTGACTTTTAACAACCAGCCAGTGTTTCCTATTGTCAAGTTGTGAACAATGTGGTCACATAATAAAGCTCCATGCCATCTCTGAAAAGGCAAATGTAATTCAAAATAGCTGAGACTGCAAAAGGCAAAAAGGGGCTTGCTCCCATGAAGCATGTCCAGGTATATGGCTCCCTGGACAAGGCCCTCCACTGAATTCACTCACACAAGCCCCCAAGATGAAAGCTTTCTAAAATTATGGGGAAGTGAACTTAATCCATCTAATCCTGTCTCTTCACTTTAAAACTGGAGTTAACACTCTATTTCTTGGCTGTTACATACAAATGAGAAAGTAACTATAAGACAGGTTAGTACAGTACTGCGTTACTAATATTTTCTCATAGTCTGCAAAATTCTAAATCTAGTGTTTTATTCTTTACACCTGACTTAAACCTATGTACTCAACTAGCCCAAGGTGTAACTATTTTTCACATCTTTTCTTTACAAGACTAAACTGATACCTAAATAACTACCCATGTATATTTTACCAAAACAAAATGAATCTAACAGAGTGAATTTCCATTCACATACACATTTTAAGAATAACTATTGAGCTGAGGAGCTATCTCAGCAGTCTGCTCGCCTGGCAAGCGCAAGGACCTGATTTGGATCCCCAGTACCACAAAACCGGGCGCAGTGGCACATGCCTGTAATCCCAGCACTAGGGAGGCTGAGACAGGAAGATCACTATGAGTCTGAGCTGCATAGTGAGACCCTGTACCAAATAATTTTAAAAAAAGAATGACTATCAAGACACTGAGCACATTATCAATAACACCAATATGTATTATTAATGACTGTTCTGGTTTGTGTCTAGCTCCTCCCCCAAAGCCTCATGTAGTCATGGAGCAGGCTTCTAGAGTTTATGATTCATTCATAATCCAATGCTTGGATTATGGGTGCGAGTGCTATATCTGTCCTTGAGCAGGCAGCCTGCATACAATGTAAGGGAGGGAAAGAGGCACGCTCTTGCTGCTCCTCCCATTCTGCTCTTGCTGCTTTTGCTGTTTTCGGCCACCATGATCTGCTGCCCTCTGCCATGCGCCGCCCTGTCTTAGAGTCAGCCAAGCATGAACTAAAACCTCCACAAACCGTGAGCTAAGCAAATCTTTCCTTCCTAATTTTGAGCGTTGGGCATGTTGTCTCAGCAACAAAAAAAAAAGTAACCGAGACAATGATGTAATCTAATTTGGAATAATTATTTTAATGTTGAAAATACTTCTAAGTAGACACTGGGACATTTAATGGGCGACTTCTCATTCTTCAAATCTTGGCCCTCAGCTACCCACTTTCTTCTCAAATCACACCCACCTGCTTTCGTGCATCCACATCAGCAGCATCTTCAATGTACGTGTCATCCACTTCACGCTCTTCGAGCTCCTTCTCAGCATTTTCTGGTAGAACAATTTCAAAATCGTTCTTGGGGGCAGGAAGGCCCATCAACCCTAAACGGAGATGTTCACGAGATTCTCTTTCCTGCAGGAAAGAAATGGTTCTCAGTTCATGTAAAGGAGGAGCCAACTAGTATTTCACAAATATTTCTAAAAAACATTCACCTAATATTAATTCTAAAATAATGATTTTAACTGCAAAATTACATTTTCTTTTTAAAAAATATTCTACCTCCCTGATTTCTCTACATAAAGATCAATCAAAACATGACTTATGATCAATGACAGAATTGGTTGGTGCAAGCAAGCTTAGGAAGCACCTCTATAAGGGCAAAAAAAATACCATTTGGATTTTCACAGAAGGAATACATCTAACATTGAAATTTAATAGCAAATGAAAAGAATAAAAGTTAATTTGTCCTTCAGCTAGTAAAACCAAACCTGAAGAATGCCTGAACTGATGTGCATGTCTACTTACAATTAGGGAACTATTAAATCAGGGACCAGGGAGATGGCACAATGGAATAAGCGCGGGCCTGAGTTCAAACCCCAGTTTCGCCAAAAAAAAAAGTTACATGAAAGGCAAGAGTCCAAAGTTCCCAAAGAAACCACCCAAAGTTTCCTCCAGTGCACCCCTGGTTCACCTTCCCAGCCTTATTTCCCAGCCTCCCAATAACAAAAAAGTCAGAGACGATGGACATTTTCACTCAACTTCAGATCCTTTCAAATGTCCAGGGACATGTACCCAGTGGTTCCCAATTTCCTTATACAGTCATCCAGGATCAGCATTAGTTGATATCAATTTAGGCATTAAAATGAATATAAATTAACCAAATCTATACATGTTAGAATTAAGTTATAAACTGAAGATACACCAGGATCATTGAAAGTCACTTAAAATTTCACAAGGATTTTCCATGGCATGAGATAATGTACCACAGTAAAATAATAAAAGCTGTAACCAAAACAGAAGCAAAAACTGTAGTTTTTAAGTATTAGTCTTTCCACAGGGGTGATAGCTCAGCAGCATAAGCACCTGCCTAGCAAGCTCAAGGTCCTGAGTTTGACCCCCAATACCAAAAATTAAAGTTACTTTTCCATATCACTTCAAAATATACAAAAAAGGTAATGAAGTCAACAACAACATCAAATTAACTTAGCTTTAAGATCTAGGCTGTTGTAAACATATGAACCAAACAGAAGGGGTGGGGAGATGGCTCCGTAGAATAAGCGCTTCCCTGGCAAGTACCAGGACCTGAGTTCAATCCCCGGTTCCACCAAAAAAAAAAGAAACAAACAGAAGAACTCAGGCTCAAAAGTCTAATTTATCAGGGCCGGCCTGATAGCTCAGCAGACTAAATAAAGCACCTGCTTAGGCAGAGCACAGAGTCTGGGGCTCAATTCCCAGCACCACAAGCCGTGCAGACCACACCCCTGGGGCACTCTGAGACCGAGATTGAGGCTGGGCATGGTGGCACACACCTGTAATCCCAGAGCTTGGGAGGCTGAAAACAGGAGGATCACTATGAATCCGATCTATGTAGTGAGACCCTGTAGGCCCTGTACTAAATACATACAAAAAAGTCTAATTTATGAGACATGTGAAACTTTACAGTAATAAAAAAATATATTCCCTTTGAGTATCAGTAAACAATAAAAATTAAAAGAATTATTTTCAACATTACACAAACATACTAAGTGACAAAAATGGCTCAAAACCCCAAAATGTTCCCCCTCTCATCAGCCCTTACAAACCATATCCCTTTGCTGCCATCAACAGATACACAGACATGTACTGAGGTGAAGAAGTGATTTGGTACTCTTGAAACACTAATAGCAATCTTTTAGGGTGGAGGACAGAGCTCAGTGATAAGATGCCTGCTTAGCATATAATCCCCAATGCCACAAGAAAAACAAAACTAAAGAGTATTAAAAGGACATTTACCATCTGCTTCACATAAGAGGGATCATTGTAATCTGCCATCCCATCCTCAGGATTGATGTTTAATTTATCTCTAAGTGGAGTTCTACCCGGGGTAGAGTTAACCACTGGTTTGGGAGTTGTCCCACTCCGGGGAGTCAGCCCTTCTGCTCCATTAGAAGGAGTCCTGCAATAACACAATTCCTGATTAATAAATTATTTCACAGGGAATGCAGAACATAAAGAAACAAAAGATTCCAAAACTTCTGCCTTCCTATTTTTAAGTCAGTTCTCTAATTAAAAATAAAGGATTGAGGTTGGGGGATGTAGCTCAGTGTGCAGCACCTGCCTGGCAAGCACAACACACTTAATTCAATTCATGGTACCAAAGAAAAAAAATGGTTTGAGTTCAACCCTCAGTATGGCAAAATAATATGTTTTTTAAAAATAAAGATTCGGCTTAGTTAACGTAGTACTTACACACAATATTTTATTGACTTCTAATAGTTCTTACATTTGACATGGTCTTGCCTTCCTAAACAAGGTCCACCAATCATATTCAGCCCTTTCCTGCTATTTCCTGATACATGAGCATGACTAATAGCTAGTCGGCATGAAGGCAAGTGACCACGCTCACTCACCAGATGAGTTCAGTGCGTCCCTCCTATCCTTCCTCTCCCTCCTGGCCAAGTGACAGCCTACCACGTCCAGTCATTCCTGCCACCATCATCGAAGTGCACAATCACATCTAGTAGGAATAGGGCTGAGGGCTAGGAGACTCTCCAATAGTAAAGTCCGCAGAACGGAATTTCCAGCAATTGACATTTTAATTGGTCAAAGACGTTTTGCTGCAGTGGTGGCTGCTGCTTTCCTACACGGGTCCTGAATTCCTATACAGTAGCTGTGTTTCAGGCTGCTCGTACTGCCACCAAGCTGTTCCCAACAAGTAGGGCGTTATCGTGTAAAATGTGGTCCATGGTCCCTGCCCACAACTTTGCAAAACCCTGTCTTAAAATGTAAAAGGGTTAGGGATGCAACTTGGGGCAGAGCACCTACTGAGCATGACAAGGGTCTGGATTCAATATCTACTACCAAGAAGAGCTAGATAGGGAGTGGCTGCCAGTGCTGCTGGATTCTGCTGGGGGAAAGCCTTGCTGTACTAGATCCACAGGAGCACTTATACTTAAAAGTCAAATCCCAATACTCAGCCTTTAAAACTGAACTCCCATTTTAATATAACTTGCTTTGATAACATCTGATCTTAAAGATTCTTTAGGAACCAACAGTTTAAAACAAAAGAAATGCTAATATATACTAAGCTCTAGTTAATGATATGCATGTGGAACAGACAGGCACAAAAACTGGTATCCGCAAAGTCCTTCGAAGTGTCTTAAAAAAAATAAGATGACTTAACAGGTGGGTATGTGACATCACAAACACAATCCACTATTAACAGTCATGGGTAGATGAATGTTCACTTTACCATTCTTTCATCTTTTCTGAATCTTCAAACATGCAGTCAAAGTTGTTGGATTCAAGTTTTTGTAAAACATAAAGCATATTCATTTTTACAATACCTGAACGGGGTAGACAGAACCGTGTTTGGGGTCTGAACAACTTGCCGCTGTGGAGTCACACCTGAGAAGTCACTCTCATGCAACGGAGTGTTGAGTCCTCCTTTTAATGGGGTGTCCACGTTGGTCAAGGCCATGAGGTTCTGGGCTTCCTGATTGGCAAGAAAGCAGAGAATTGTGTTTAAAAATTTCAGAGGTAAAAAAAAAAAGGGCCCGGGGTGATAGCTCAGTAAAATAAGCGCTTGCCTGGCAAGCACACAGGGTCCTGAGTTCAATCCCCAGTGCCACAAAAAAATTAATACTAATAATAATTTCAGAGAGGTTATCAGAATCTTCTCTCCCAACTCTTACTATACAAATTCTGAAGTAGGGAGCATTCTTCACATTTCCTCATGAAAACCAAGAGAAACAATTTAATACTGGACCATGGCAGATTTTAATACATTCATTTTTTCTCTCAATCTAACATTCTGATAGAATATGTATCAAAATAAAATTTTTATGAGGAATAAGGGTGCAGCAGTTCAGTGGTAGAATGCTTGCCTAGCGTTTCTGAGACCCTAGATTCAATCCCCAGGATGAGGTGATGGGCAGGCTTAAAAACAACACAATTTCTATTTAATGATCACTGTATGACTCAAGGATCCAATTTGTTATCAAATTAAAAACAGCTTCAGACACTGGGGATATAATTTAGCAGCAAAGTACTTGCCTGGCAAGCTTAAGGTCCTGAATTCAACTCCCAATACCAAATAAATAAATAAATGCTTCATGATTTTGCTTAAAATTTTCAAGTATCAATAATCACATTGCAAGCTGGCAAGATAGCTCAGCAGACTAAGCACCTGTTTAGGCAAGCTCAGGGACCAGGGTTCAATCCCCAGCACCACATGCTGCACCGGCCCAGCCCCCAGGCACACTGAGCCGGCCACCTAGATGCTGTGTGGTGGCGCATGCCAGTAATCTCAGCAATGGGGAGGCTGAAAACCAGGAGGATCACCACAAGTCCAAGGTGCATAGTGAGACCCTGTGCAAAATACATTAAAAAAAAAAAAATCATGTTGCAAACATTTTCCAATGGCACTACTGAAAGATGGATGTGGGGGCAACTACTTCCCTGCCAGAGAAGAAGAGATAGGCCACAGCATGGATAAAGTATCAAAGCCAAAAGAGCCTCTCTTTCTGACTATGCGCAGGAAACATGAGGAGAGGTCAAACCCTCCAAGGCGTTCTACAGGGTAACACACTCCCAGCACGCAGTGCAGGAGCACACAGCTGCTCACACCCACCTGGGGGGAGATGCACCCCCACCTCTCTGCGCAAGGTCAATGACAGAAACACAAGGAAGTCTAAGATCACTGACTATACACACTACTATCTTTCCAGGGTCACTGAGCAATGTGAAACTGTTGCTTTATCAATAGGTACAACATGCTACTGCCCAATAGAAGAGCTGGCTTCAAAGCACTATGCATTAATACCCTTAGAAATGAAACCACTTACTCAATCTGCTGAACTGGCTTCTCTACTAAAGAAATGCTCTAAATGCTGGGCATCCAGAATTCAGTTTGAAACTGCAGACCCTAAGGAAAATATAACCAAGCCACTGTTCTTCTTCATGACACCAAGAAGGATAGTAAAGTGAAAGTTCACTCTGCTGCTGTGTGTGATGCCATACCTGCAGGATCCTGTCCTGGGAGGCTGGTGTCCGCGGTGTCCTAAGGGCAATGCTGTTGTTGGTGACATTGTACTCAGACAGGAGAGTACTGGAAGCAGAGTTTGTGATGCCAGACTCCTCGGCAGTCTGCCGGGCGATTTCACTGGCTTGGCCCACTTTAACCACTTCCTGGAGTTCGGCATCTGAAATCTAAATGACACAATGCTCACAGTAAGAACTACATTAACTGAGAACCAACATGATTTCAAGTTTCCGTGTTCCAAAAAGATGAGTCTCTGAAACTGTTTGATGGGCTAGTAAGTGACAGGTTCTAGCCCTAGTATAAATTGCTAAATCATCATGGTGGTTATCTAATATGGCTGAAGCCCTTAAAACTAAAGCCCATCGGGGCTGGTGAGATGGCTCAGTGGTCTAAAGCACCTACTTAGAACAAGCTTAGCAAAGCCCAGGGACCACGGTTCAATCCCCCAGCTCCACATGCCAGCCAGCCCGCCCCCTGGTGGGCTGAGCTGGCCACACACACACACAAATAAATAAAATTAAAAACTAAAGCCCATCTCCCAAGACCACCTCCCCACCTTCTTCTCCAACTCAGTCCAGGGTGCAATTTCCTTTCCCTTCGCGCCACCTCAGGAAAGACCCCCGAGTTAGCTCCCTCAGGTGTATTTAAACATCTTCAAACTCCAGCCCTGGTAAAAGGCTATAAAAGCCTCAGCCTCCCTTTGTTCCAATCAAAAGAATTCCTCATTTTCCCCATATTCTCTCCATGTCCTCAAAGATGATAGAGCCCCTTTCCCTTTTCCTTTTGCCTGTTTCTCTGCCGCACCAGGTGCCTCAAAAAACCTACCAGTAAGATGCACTGAGAGACTCTCCTTATTTTCCAAAGCTTTGCACATTTCTACAATAAAATTTCAAAAAGCTTCTGCTACATAATATGAGAAAAATTCATATATGATGTAAACTCAAGCTAAGATGGCTATTTTCCATACTGAAATCATTTCAAATCAATGTATTAAAATACCAAAGACATAAAATAGTAGTTTGTACAAAACTACCAAGAGGAGCCAGGGAGTTGGCTCAGTAGGATAAGTGCTTGCCTGGCAAGCACACGGGCCTGAGTTCAATCTCCAGTTCCACCAAAAAAAAAAAAAAAAAAACCTATCAGTAAAGGAAAGAAAAAGACTGAAAACCAATTAAAATATCACTCTAGAGTACACTGAGACACAAGACCCCTAAGAAAATCAGCTGTTATCTTAGTAATTCTACCAAAATAAATATCCTAAAGGAGCATTAAGAAAAGGAGGGGGGGATTACACCCAGGCATATAAACCTGGCTGTTAGGGCTTGTGTTTAGATGTCCCACAAGCCCCTGCAGTCACAGGTAGGCTTTTTCAGAGGTGGCTGGATTCAGAGTAGGTATACTGGAACTGATTCATGAGGCAACGCTAGGCTCAAGGGCCTAGGATTAAGGGTGTGAGTGCTACTTGTCCCAAGCAGCCTGGAGAAAATACAAGGAACAGAAAGAGCTATGGTCGTCCTTGTTGTTTTGCTACCCTCCGCCAGCCATGCACTGCTTCTCCTGCACCAAGCCACCCTGCCCTGGAGCGTGCCAGTCAGGGACTGAAATGCCCTACAAACTGAGCTAAATAAACCTTTCCTCCTCTAACTGGGGATGTCAGGGGTTTTGTCTCAGCAATGAGAAAAGTACCTAAGACACCCGTACTTTGGAAGGCTGAGCAGGGAGGATTGTAGTTTGAGCACAGCCTGTGCAGTTTTGTGACTTAATGAGACCCCTTATCAAGATAAAAAAGAACTAGCGATGCAGCTTGTGGCAAGGTCCTGGGTTCAAACCCCAGGATCACAAAGAAGAAGAAAAACCAAACGAAATTCAATCAAGAAAATAATTCAACCAGGAAATATCCTTACTAGAATTACGGCCCACCCCATTCGCTTCTGCTCACTGGCCTCCTGGGTGGGTGCAGCCAGTGCACCCACCTGTGGAAGGCAGCTCTCCATGCTCCTCAGCCCTTTCCTCACCATACTACACCCATCCCCACCTGCCGTGCTGCACTCCTCAAAATTAGAAGGACTCAAAGTCCCCCCAGTTCTAATCAACTTTAACTCAGTCACTGGACTGTACTAAGCTCAAGAAGGGATATTTGGGCCAGGGAGATAGCTCAGCAGCACAAGCACCTGCCTGGCAAGTGCAAGATCTTGAGTACAATTCCTGGCAGAAAAAAAAAAAAGAAAGAAAGAAAAGAGTTGTTTGCATTTCTCTTCTCTACAACTCCCCTTTACAGCTGTTTTCTCAAAAAGAAAAAGGTTAAAATAAGTATACTATTAACTTCTCCTTAGTTCACTGCAAAGAAAAGTTTGTACTAATATTGTTTAGACAACTAAATGTCTGTCTTATACTGAGTAACTAATTTAAAAATAACAATATCTAATATATTAATCATTGTTATCCTATTATCTTGATTTCAATTTTTTTCTTTAAATTAAAAAACAAAAAAAGGCTAGTAAGATAGCTCAGTGGCCTAAGCACCTGCTTAGGCAAGCACAGGGACCGGGGTTCGATCCCCAGTACAACATGCTGCCCTAGCTCCACCCCTAGGCACACTGAGCCAGCCACAGAAACCAGGCATGGTGGCACATGCCTATAATCCCAGCGCCGGCAAGGCTGAAAGCAAGAGAATTACTATGAGTCTGAGCTGCCTAGTAAGACTCTATACCAAATACAAAAATACATAAAAAATTTTAAAAAATAAAATAAAGCATTATACAATAAGGCATTCTCTGAAAGAAAGCCACAAAAATCCATATAGCCAACCACACCCACCCTGAACCCTGACAAACTGCTAAGTGCCGACACTGACTTAACCACACCACTACGGGAGTGTGCAGAAGTGGGGAGTGTGCAGAAGTGGTTACTGTAAGCCATTTTCATGTGCGAACTTCCTAAGGTCACACAGCACTACCCTGATACAGGGCCTTCACACATCTGCTACATAAATGAGGTAGGCATATAAATTCAAACAATGGAAGTAACTGCTTTTATCAGATTACCTGAGGAGCAGGAAGCACCAGTTTGCTTCTCTTTTTAGTAAATTCAGAAACACCACTAGTTTGGAGAATAGCTGATGGTAAATCAGATTCCTTTTTCCGCTTCAAATGTTGTTTGTCTTTTTTTCTATCTCTCCCTTCTTTTTCACTGTCACAGAAAAGCAAGAGATTTTTAACATTACACATAGACAACAACACTAACAGTCATATTAAAAAAAAACACCTGAGCAATCCCATGTCTAAGAAAATAACTCTTTTTTTTTTTTTTTTTTTGTGAAACCGGAGATTGAACTCAAGCCCTTGTGCTTGTTATTCTACTGAGCTATCTCCCTGTTATGGTTTGTGTCTAGTTGTCCCCCCAAACCCTCATGCACTCATGGAGTGAGGACTGCTACAGTTTGTGATTAACTCATGATCCACTGGGATTATGTGTAATCCAAGGCTGGGATTATGGGTCTTAGTACTGCTGGGATTATGGGTGTGAGTACCTCCCCTGGCTTGGGGCAGAGAGCCTGAATGTAATATAAGAGACAGAAAGACAGACTTTCTGTAGCCATTGCTCCTTCTTGTTGCTGCTGCTGTTCGGCCGCCATGAAGTGCTGCTCTCTGCCATGTGCCCCTCCGCCTTAGAGCCAGCTGAATAGGACTGAAACTTCCAGTAACTGTGAGCTAAATAAACCTTTCCTTCCTTCATTTTGGGTGTCCGGTATTTGTCCCAGCAACGAGAGAAGAGTAACTAAGACACTCCCTGGCCCCAGAAAATAACTTTAAAAAGACAAAAACAGCACATTATCATGCTGCTTGTTGTACCCTTACTTACACCCTATATTTAAGGATGTAAGCTTAGAATAGCAATAGCCTTATAAGAAAACAGGATACACCAATGTAGGTATAAAAATTAAATCATGAAACTACAAAGATTGTGCCAAAACATGGCATATGCATATAATATTTAAAAAAAAAAAAACAGCTTCTATCTGCACGAGAATTATGTGTTCATACAGAAATGTGTATGCACACAGGAAAAGGCTGAAAATGAGTATGCCAGAAAAGAAACACCTTGTGATCTTTGCAATTTCTCCTTAACACACTTACTAAATTGTTAGGACTTTCAAAACGCACAAAATTCCTCAAAGGCATTTCGAATTAACAAATGACACCCAAAGGTTGTTAGAGAAACCTAAAGGCAGTCTCTCAAAGCTCTAAAAAAAATTTTTCCCCTTCTGCCAGTCTTCCTTCTCCTCATGGAGTCTATTCCTTCCAAATAACCAGGTGTGATTGAAAAACACAATGAATGTTTAAATTAAAAAATGTATTACTGGGCTGGTGAGATGGCTCAGTGGTCTAAAGCACCTACTTAGAACAAGCTTAGCAAAGCACAAGGGACCACGGTTCAATCCCCCAGCACCACATGCCAGCCAGCCCGCCCCC